TGTTAGCTTTCATAATATTAGAGTGAAATAGTGATTTGACCTACTAACTAGAAATAAAATACTCAATATATTTAATGAACGTTATCTGTGTTTTTACGTTGGTTTTTCACAATATTTTAGTTTTTATGCTAGTTACTATCATTTTCAAATAATTATTTTTCATATTCATAACTCGCGTAAGAAATTGCACTTTCGGGACACTGCAGAAAATATTAATTAATAATTACACATATTTAAATACCTACGTATCACAAATTTAGATAATTTGGATTTTTCGCGAGAAAGGTAGGTTTAAAGAACCTTTGTAATTAATTGTATCAATAGTGTTTTACCTAGTTATTAATTATAAAATTAAATTACTCTTCAATATTGAAAATATATTATTATTTATAATTCGATATTCTATCTGGGAATGACTTAATATTATGTCCGTTGCGATGTTGTCTTATGAAAACAAGACAATTCTGAGAGGCAATAATAATATAGCTACTGCCTGCCAGTTTAGAACTGACTATATTCTAAAATCTAAACACAACTTTATGATAACTTTATATGGGTGCTAGGTATGGACTTTAGAGTATTTAAAATGGCGTGATGTTTTATAGACTATTTTAATATAGGCCTGTTTTGTTATAATATTGATTTAATAATAATGCTTAGTAGTTAGTAGTAAATAGTTATATTAATTCCATCGGCAGGAACAATGTATTTCTATTTTAATGTTTTTGGGGTACACTTATGCCGAGTTTCATGAACGATCAATAAATATTGAATGAATCAATTAGAAGCTAATGGTCTCATAAATATGGATAGTAGACCATTGTTTGTCCATTAAATTTTATTGAACAATAAAATTAATCTATTTTTTTTATGAAATTTGACATATTATTATCTAATATTATTTAGAACTACTTATTTATATTTTTGCACGTATACCATTTATAATAGCTATTATATTATTTGGGTTTATTATTATAGTAGGTAACTTAAAAATCAAAAATTAAAAATCGTAAAAGACTTATACATAGTATAATTTTTGTACAACAATCTCATCCAATCAAAACAAAATGTATTTTACTAATCATAAATCGATATCATCGTCAAATTTGACAAAAAATTAAAATACAATGTATAAGTATTTGAATTGGACTTTAAATGTTTAAAAAAAATCATGCTTATGTATTTTAAAGAGTTTTCAATTGTTGCTATAATAACTTACGAGGAACCTTGTATTAAATGTTCAAACTTTTTAACCCAACAAAAACAATTTTTTGATATGGAGGAAAAAAATTGTAAATTTAAATTTTTAATTTCTATAAACAGCTCAAAATGATTTAAAAATTTTTGAAAATCTTATCAAATATAGGAAATAATGAAATTAAAATTTTAAGAAAATTTCAAGATTCAAAGGTCATTTGTTTTTGAGTTATAATGAAAATTTAAAATCGTTTGTTTGATAATTAGTTTTACTCTCGGGTAAAATCTTTTAATTTTGCAGTATAAAAACTTATAAGGAATATTATATGAGATTTTTAAATACAAAAATTATACGAATTAATAAGTAGAAATATTTCGCAAGTTTGTATGGATTTAATGGATTTTGAAAAAAACCTAAACCTTTAGACGCTCATAAAAAATTATTTAATATTTATGATCAATTATTTTTTAAATTTATATGTTTACCACTAGCAACAATTTATGAAAAACTTTTTTTTGAATATTCAAAAAGTGAAAATATTTTAACGGCAATAATTTAAAAAAAACTGTAAAAAAATTAAAAATATATCATGATTATAAACAGATTAAATAGATTCAAAATATTTTTAAAATTGTATCATACATATGTGAAAAACGTACAAAACATACGTTTTTGTAAGAATTTAAAGTATCTACAATTATTATTAGTTTTTAAACTACACTAAAGAAACAAAATTGATTTTTTCAAAAATTAGTTTCATATAATAACTCCTGTTTTTATTAATTTTAATTTGGATTTTTCAAGCACTTTTGAAAACTACTAAGATATTTTTACTTTTGACTCCTCGAAATACCAACTAGATTCGTTTAAATTGGAAAAATCTAAGCATTTAAAATGCCTTAAAATGTAATGAGTGTTAACATACACAACAAATAAGAAAAACTACACACCATTGTTAAATCATTAGACAATTGTATGGTGAAAAATAAAGCATGCCAAGTAAAAACAACCACAATAATAATTATTCATTTCTTATTGATATCTAATTAACCAAGGATTAAATTTTTTATTAAGACAATTTGATATTGACTGTGTTTATGATAAAAACATAGTACCTATAGGTGTATACATTTCGTCTATTTAAACGGTATAACTTACCCCAAGAATTAATATGAAAAAAAATTTAAAATTTAGTTCGAACTCACCACCACTAACTAATTGTTTTAACTCTAATATTGTATTCCACTTAGATTTGATTTTAAATTGTTGTAATTCAAAAAAAAATTCTAAACAGTATTCGATACACCAAAGATAAATAATTATCAGTGGAACATTTGACATTCGTAGACTACATATTTTTGTAAACAATGTGTGTACCTGCTTAGAAGCGATTAGCTATATATTTTACACTTTAATCGTTAACTCCGAGCATTAACGAGTTAAAATTAAAGTTAAGTTAAAAAATTTATTTTATTTTATCTTTTCAGCTTAACTATTTACTGTTGTGTTTCCTTTAATTTAATTAATAACTTAACTTTAAAGTTTTTAATCTAACGAAGAATCAACGAAGTATAATATTATGTTCATTTTAAGACATCTAGTTAATTTATTTTATTTACGTACATTTCAATCGATTTTATTTCTTTGCAATACATATTTCAGGTAATTTTTGGTGGGAATTAATTGTAAGAATTATTGTAATTTTTCTAAAGACGAAAAAGTAAAATAAATACAAATATCGAATGTAATACTATATCAACACTTCCCATATAGKTTTTAGTTGGTAAAAAGTAATGTAGGCTGGTGTAATTATTCACAAAAAAAATCATTATGAAATCCATGAATCAATCAATCATATGGAATTAGTATTATCTATTTCACTAGCGATACTAATCATTATCATACTACCAAAATCAGTGAACACTAGTGCAGTACTGCAGTGAGATGAAAAATGATACAAGTTAGAGAAAATTATAAACTGATAAGTGTTGTGATTTGGTAATAAGGATAGCAGCATTGCGATATTTCAACAATTCAAAAATTGATTATAGATAAAACATAGTGTTAAAAAAAATCCGAAATATTTATAAAATTAATAATTATAYTATAAGTATGACATATTTTTTCCCTTTGGTTATTTTGAAATTATTTTAATTATTTTAATTTTAGAAATGTACTRTCAGAAACCACTTCCACCAAATTTAACATTTTTTGGTAAACAATAATAGTGTCTCCTGACAAAACAAAAATACGCATCGTTCCAAAATAAACTCATTCATCAATAGGTATTATTACATTATTTATTCCAAATTCAGTTATAAATTCRAAGGATTTTTAATCATCCGTAGCCAATGGTAGCAATCGTTTTTGATCAAATTTCTCTCGTRAATCTTAAAATCATTGTCTGAGAATAGAATCCATTTTCAATATTTACTTACATTGTGAAACGAAGGTAGGTACTGACAAAATTCCAAGTTTCTGACTATCATGTCTTATAYGATAATTCACAGTCAGTTAGTCAGTCATTCATTCTATAATTCAGTGAAAGCTGCTTATTTATTTAAATATTATAATATTTCTATGTAGTTTAATTATTTAATAGACCATTACTACTAAAATAAATTATAATATTTTTAGGTAATTGATAATTGAAATATATTATTATTATTATTTATAATACAATCATGAAAGCGTTTAAGTTGTTCGTTAATTTTCTATTTTTAACAATAAGCAATAATTTTAAAAACGTAATAAACTTTTAATAATTTCAATTCAATGATGGTATAAACATAATATACTTATAAGAAAATCTGCACAGTTTTAATACAATGTTACGAAATGTGTGTACTGAAATATTCTTACTATTGTTKTGTTGTACCGTTTATGACTGTTTATTAATTATACTAGTTGTGATTCAGTGTAAAAATAAATAAAATTAATTTAAACAACTATATATAAAAAAAATAAATAAATAAAAAAAAACAAAATGTAACCAGATACTAGTAATCGTTCAGTGACTAAACGAAGTCTCAAACATACAAGCAGTTCAGTTCAGTTAGTGACTGTGTGCTACATTAGTGGTTTAACTCTCCTGCAGGTACATGATTCGTTTATTCATTATATGTTTATAAATAACTAAAGATAAGGCTACATGATTATATGTTTTATCTATTGGTTGCTTATTAATTTATAATATTATTTTTATTTTTATTAAAAAAAAATTGTTTTCAATAAAAATAAAGTTATATGCAATATTATACTACGATAAACAAGGTGATCCATTTGAGTATCTAGAATAGAGTCTAGAATCGTAATTTTGAAAAGTTTTACCTATTAATTTTATTACTTAATTTATGTAATTTTTAGATGACATTTTTAAAACTGTTATTGTTATTACTTTTTGAGATTTAAACTGATTGAATTTCGATTAAAATATTTTTTTTTTTATTTTTTATTTCAAAACAATCTAATGGTGTATTACGATACATAAAAATTGAATTTCAAAGGATTAATAGTTTTATTATTATTAACTATTACAGATTAAATTTTAATGAAATGAATAAATGTCACCACTACCAGAATATTACAAGAATTCAAAATATTTTCAAAAATTAAAACGTTTCCATATATATTATTTTCAGTTATTATTGACAGTCATGTATTTTGATTTATACATATAACTAATACATAATACATGTAAATTTTTGATTTTCATAAATGTGTATTAAATTATTTTATTCTGTAAATTATAACGAATTATTTGTATATTTAAAATGTATTATAAAATATTGTACTATTATAGCATATTGGAATAGGATAGTTATTGATCATTGGGTACAATTCATGTCGTTAGCTGGAAAAATGGGTGACTTTGTTCAGAGTAAGTACCAAAATATTCATTACTCAGTTAAGGGTTAAATATTTTTTCAATTAATCTTTTATTCTAAGAGGAGTAAAGAAATTGTAGAAAAGTCGAATAAAAGTTACACAAATGTTTTATTGTCATAACACTTAAAGAACCAACGAAATATTCATTTTATGGTAATAAATACCAATAGTTAGCCCTTCCATTTATTTTATTTTTTCGTTAACTTCCATAATCGATGAGAACGTTTAGGTATACATTTTAGAATTTTATTTAAAATTCTGGCTATTATTTTAGGTATGGATATGTTAATATATTCTAGGGATCTATCATGGTATCCCAAAAAATGTTGTGATTTGAAAATTTCTCATGATTTTGTKACATGACCAAAAATATCGTTATTACTTATTATAAACATTTTGTATTACATAATTTGATAATAATTGTATAAATTGTCTACGGTGTTATAAGATTTTGTCAGCTTAATAATTTAACAGAAAGGTTCTCATTGTATACAATTTCTTTAAATATCAAAGACATAAAAATGCTAACTTATTTTGTAAATATTATATTCAATTTCAAATTTTTATTTATTTATTAGCAGTTAGAAAAATATTTTTTGCATACAACTTTTATTTAGTACTCAGTATAATGTGTATAGATTGTTTATTTATATCAAAGAATTCAAATGAGACCAATTGGTTCCAGCAATTTACTACATTATTGTATTTATATTTCAATCGAAACCAAATGTCATTTTTATATATTTATTGAGCAGTATAAGTGATATTTAAAATTTAACTTTCATAAAATTAAAATACTATGTATTATTTAGCATTACGACGGGTAAACTACAATTAATTTTCTCAATTGTTTTTCAATAATTCCCATGAATGCACGAGTGTTCCTGTGAATTGTCCATCTCTAACTTATATAAGATGATAATGTTTGTTTAAATTGATTGTAAAACAAAGTGGTTACCTTTACTTCGCAGCTTTTACCCTTAATAATTAAAAATATGTAATTTTATCATTTAGTATAATATATATAAATATGTTAGAGAATATTCTCAATAGATTTTGTGCAATCATTAATTTATAATAAATAATATGCTACTTTAATACAATATTGAGCTAGATTTCACATATATTAAAAACCAGTTTGTTCCATTGAATTACAAATAAAATTAAAATATGGTAACCGAACAATTTTTTTTTCTGAAATTAGCAATGTTCTCAGAAAATGTCAAAAATTTATATTTTTAATTATTATTCATGATCACATAATTTCATAAAAAAAAAATAAAAAAAAAATAAAATTGGAAAATCCTAAATAATATATTGTCTTGGCAAGAATTCTAAACTCCAAAGATACGGTTCAATGACATTCTAGATTAATATTAAAAATACTGTCGTACTCACTTCGCACATAATCTAAAATAATTACACTAATAGGTATTGGTATTAAAACTTAATTATGAAATTATAACTTCAATGTTCAAATGCATAGTTATACAATTTTTCATAACTCTAAGATTATTGTACGTAGATCTAAATATGTAGGTATTTAGAATAACTACGGTGTTTAATAATGTACAGCTTATAAGTTTATATACAATCATAGGTACCAATTTATCGTCAAATTAATAGTATAATACAATTATAACATATTACAAAAAATATAAACCAAATAGTTTGATATATGAAAAACATGCTTTTAGTTATAATATTGTTAATTAATAATAAAATTGTTCAATAAAACAATTGTTAATTCAAACTTGATAAATCAACAAGTTACACTTTAATACGGTTTACTAATAATCATAATAAACTCATAACCACAAACAGTATACATTTTTTATCAATTATTATACATACATATACTTGAATGCTTTAAACGTTCATTATTGAAATATTAAAATTTTTTTATGGTTGAGCTCTTATTAATATGTTAAAAAGAATTAGAWAAAATAACTTAAAGGTTGTGTATATTTTTATCATTATAAAATATAAAGGTTACATTGATTTAACGTTAGATTTTCTTGAGTAGCACAAATTGTTAATTGAGTGAAATATCTCGAAGGTTGAAAATAGTTAATTAGTATTAAAATTATATATTTAAATATCCTACTGATACGAAAGAAGAAACTAAACATATTAATATTACCTAGTTGATTTCATTAACACACTAGTATATACAAATACTCCTTAATGTAAACCTTATTGTTAAACTAACAATTTCACTTTTTCCTAATAATTAGCGTTTTTGGTAGTTTTAGTATACGTTGACAGATGCAAGTACTGKGACATTAAGTATAATTCTATAGGTATAGGTAGTTTAGAATAATATTATTCATATCATTTTAATTTTCATATTAATCGTATAATTATGTGTACTTCTAGGGTGAAGTTTTACCTTGAATGACTTACAAACTAATTCATATTCGCACAAATTCACACAACGACAAACATGGAGGTATCAACGTTTTTAGTGTTCACCACATGGCTCGTTTCTATTCATCAGTGTCTATCATTAAATTTAAATGCACTATCATACCTTGGTGAACGTTACCGCTTAAATCTTATACAATTTCGAGAAGATCCGTTGTTCGGTAACAGACCTATACTCGATGAATACGACTTTATCGTGGTTGGATCAGGAGCGTCAGGTGCTACGGTTGCTAGGAGGCTAGCTGAAATACCGGAATGGAAAATATTATTGCTCGAGGCGGGCAAACAAGAATCATTGGCCACTTCAGTCCCGGCCATAGCCCATTATTTTCAATTTACAGACTTCAACTGGGCTTTCAAAACCGAAGAGGAACCGAACGCCTGTCAAGGAGTCGTAAACAAAAAGTGCTTATGGCCACAAGGTAAAGGCCTCGGCGGGAGTACGATCATCAACAACAACATTTACACTCGAGGCAACGTAAGAGACTTCGACCGTTGGGCCGAGGCAGGCAATCCCGGTTGGTCGTACAAAGACGTTTTACCGTATTTTTTGAAAAACGAAGACGTGACTATTCCAGAATTAAAACGATCTCCATACCATGGTGTGGGTGGACCAATGCCAATAAGTTATTCTCCGTTCAAGTCAAAATTGGTTGAAACATTTCTTGAATCCGCACCACAAGTGGGATTAAACGTGGTGGACTACAATGACCCAAATAGCCACGTCGGATTTTCAAGAATCCAAGGTACGATAAACTTCGGTAGACGGGTAACTTCAGCAAGAGCGTATCTCCGAGGGAACCTGACAAACTTGCATATCGTCGACGCAGCTTTCGTTACAAAAGTACTGATCGATCCAAATACTAAAGTCACGTTGGGCGTAGAATTCGAAAAGAATAACAGGAGACGAAGAGCACTAGCCAGAAAAGAAGTGATCTTGTCAGCGGGAGCTTTCAACTCAGCTAAGCTCTTGATGCTGTCGGGAATCGGGCCTAAAGAACATCTCGAACCACTCGGAATAAACACTATAAGCGATCTGCGCGTTGGTGACAATTTACAGGAGCATCCTTCGTACGCGAACTTGGCGTTTACTGTCAATCAAACCGTGGGATTAATACCCGATCGTATATACAAGCGAGGCATTCGTGAGCTTTTCAATTTCAACGACGGAAATGGCTGGCTCACAACCATGGGCTGCGAAGGACTCGGATACATAAAAACGAAATACAATAAGGATCCCGGGGACATACCAGACATCGAATACATCTTCATTCCAATGTCTCTGGCCGGTGAAGAAGGATTGGGAAATAGCTTATTGAGAAGAAGCATGGGAATACCAGACAGAACTCATTATGATTTGCACAAAGGAATATTCAACAAGGATGGATGGACAATTTGGACTATGCTCATGTACCCAGAGAGTACAGGACAAGTATGTTGAATATTACAAGCTACATATAATAAACACAACTAATGCATGATTATTATTATTATTATTGTTTTATTCTGAAATATGATTTTACATAATATATTGTCTATATTATTTTTAAAATACTATTATGTTTATTTATTTAGATATATATTTTTTTTATTTTTTTTTACAGGTCAGACTAAGGAACGCCAACCCTTATTCAAAACCATTGATAAGAGCTAACTTTTTCGACGCTCCTGTCGACGTGTTGCGTATCGTGGAAGGAATAAAATCGGTTATAGAACTTAACAAAACACCTGCTTTTCAAAAATTGGGCTCCAAAATGAGTTTGCGAACGGTGCCAGGTTGTAGACACCTGAGTTACGGATCGGACGCATACTGGGAATGTTGTGTAAAAAGACTGACCATGCAGATGCATCATCAGTGCTGTACCGCAAAGATGGGACCGTCGTTTGACCGAAACGCTGTGGTCAACTCACAACTCATGGTTTACGGTGTCTCTAAGCTGAGAGTCATCGATTGTTCGATCATGCCTTCGATAACTGGTGCCCACACTGTAGCACCAGCCTATATGATCGGAGAAAAAGGAGCTGATTTGGTCAAATCGACTTGGCTGAGACCGATAAGTTGAAATTTTTAATACGATAAATATTATTTTTATTATAGTATGTAATTAAATAAAAAGACTTAATTTAGCTATAGGTTATAGGTTATAATGAAATATATTGTATAAAGTTATAATAATTAGTGAATAATGTATTATTATCTGCGATTTAAGTCAATTTGTATTGTTCGTTTGATTAATAATATAGAAGGCGTAGTGTATATTACTATATTTTATTTCACTGTACTWTAACTCAGTAAACGAAACTTGATGTAAAGGTAACACTTTTGAACATTATAACTACCTATATTAATTTACAATATAATGATATGTACGTTTTTTAATTTATAAATTTTTATCGTATACTATATAAATATTTATTGAGTAATAATAATCTATTTAAATAGCGATCATCATACGTCTCATATTTTATTTGTATGTGTTTTTTTTTATGTAGTTCCGTAAAGAAAACAATAATTATTTAACATTTTGTTTCGTTTATAAACATGATGTATTGTACATTTATATTATTATAATTATTTTTGAGCATAATGAAWGTTCTTAAAATAAATTTAAATTAACAATCCAAACACGATTTTTTTAAAACGTAAACATATTACTAAGATAAGACACAATATWTTTTTTAATTTGTATAATACAATATGATATAAATAGCCTGAAGTAAAGACTATTACAAAATATTTGTATACTTAATAATAATTTTATATGAATTTAGTTTCTAAATAGTTTGACAATAATTATCATTGGCATTGGCATTATACAGTGTTAGGAATTACTTACGTTATAACAATATTATAGACTGACATTATATTGACCAGAACTAGAAAACATAATAATAATATAATATTGTACATTCGGGATCAGATTATTAACTATAGGCAGGAATTAAAATTATAATAAAAAAAAATTGTTCATTTCGTTTCGTAGTGCAGAACCATCTTAAAATCGAGATACCTCACGGAATAAATATATTATACTTTATTCGTYGAACCACCATACTACGGTAAATCGTAAATTATTTGCAAAACCAGTACTGAAAAATACTGGATTCCGAAGTCGTTGATAATCCGGTAWGAAAATTAAAGCAAAAACTACTACACCTACGACAGTTTATTGTAACTACAATATTGTATAGGGGTCATGAATATATTCTGCAGTAAAACATACACATCTATAGAGCATATTATTGTTATTGTTAGTTGGATTATAGGTTATGTTGAAAAAAAAAAAATACCGTAAAGCCGATGTTAGACACCGTTATTAAATAGCACAATATTATAAATATTATGCCTGAAAAATGTGGTACAACTGCTCATGACTGCATCGTGTGTAAACTTGGTTGAAGGTCAGCTGATCCGTTAGCTAACATAGAATAATCGGACACTTGCCAAAAAATGGAAAACAGCTGGGACGAATTTTTTTTTTTAAGCCAATTAAAAAATACAACACTTGGTCCTATGCGTAATTAAAAATACTATTCAAATCTATCGAACGAGMATCGTATTATATTATTATCATATACACAATTATTGTTCATGATAATTAATAATATGATTTCACAAATTATTTATCATGACCTATCTGGCGATAATAACGTTTTATTTTAATAGATTTCAATTACGTAAGTATCAACACAATGTTCACCTATATAACAAGCACATCATCATAGTAATAAAGTTATTACCTACGCATTTTCGCTTTCTAGCCAATTTTCGTAGTGCTTATACATTTATATTTGTTACCATGGTATACCTTCCCCATAAACATATTTATGATTCCTAGATTTTTCTCCCATAAGCCAGATATCAAGTAACATGGAACATTTTTTTTTTTTTTTTTGAATCAAAATAATTAGTCTCGAAATTAAAACTCAACTTTAGCATAATAAACTTTATTTTCAATTTCAAAAAATAATTTTGCTCCCTTGTTGAAAAATTTTAAATTAATGTTTACCTATAGTGTTATATCCATTATAATGGTGACYTCGTTTTTAGAATATTTTGAGAAATGATTTTGATGTTTTCAAAACAATTTTTTTTATGGAAACCTTCAAGTGAGCTTATCAACTTGGACTCATATTTAAGCGAGTATAAGTATGTGGAAAAAAATTAAATATTAGTTTAACAATATCTTAAGTCAAAAAAGATAAATGAAAATGAAAATCGTTCGGGTTTCGTATGTCTGTGTGTAAATAGTTACTTACAAATTATTCCGAAAAATGTTTGCTTCTGATAATGATTTAAATCGTTGCCACCGTTATGAGCTCTTATATGAAATTCCACCAAAATTTGTTCTAACCGCCAGGGGTTTTTTTCATACATTTACTCAAATACCAAAGTTTTAACAGTTTGAACAAAATGTTGATTACAAAAATTCCAATTATGATATTTGAAAATGTATAACACATACTGAAAGTGGCACATGGCAGCACTATAAAAATTTTTCAATCCAACGAAAAAATACTGATTACTAAGTTCTAGAACGAAATCTCATTGGGATCAGATTTCCATAAGATTTCATAAGAAATTTCACAATCTGGGTTAAGTAATTTTTTGACTTTTAAAATTATACTGTAAAAAAAATTAAGTGACACTTATAAACTCCTTTTTTGGTCAACGTGTTTATTTTCTTTAAAACGAAAGCTGATATATAAGACGTAATATTTTAGACTACATACAATTAACTAATAGAATAAAAACGAAAATGAAAAATAACTTGTGTTCGCATAAAGCAAAATTCAATTTTTTATAAAACATTAATTATTCGGTACTGTTGTCAAAATGCCAGTAAGTATTTATCATGGTTATAAATTTATGAGAATTAAATCGATCAATTTTATATTTTATAATATTGTATCTATCAACGTTTGGTGCGTAATTCTTAAGTTATACTTCACGCTGTGGAACGTACAAGCATTAAGATAATATAATTTATTTAGAAATGGTATTGGTTTTTTAATTTCAAGTGCACCATTCAATTTTTTTAAGCTTATTTTTGGTACGAAAACATTAAATGGTAAAATCCATACGAATAATACCCGTTGAAATTATAATTTTTTTGCGGATAGTGCACAACTATAATACCTACCTACATATATCATATTTATGTTTTGCATAATTTGAATATTGGTTACTTATAAATATCAATTTTTTGTTGTGTACAGTGTGTAAGTTATTATTAATACTTACAACGATTGTATTTAATTTTATGTACAACAATAACATTAAAATATTTTTAAAAACGAATAATATACAATATTTATTTAAATAAACAAATATTTGTCTACTATAATATAACTACAAACATTTTAAAAAATAGATAACAAACCCAATACKAAAATGTGAGATTGAGTTTAAAATAAAAAATTAACGAGTTGTTTTTTTTTTAATCTAAATGTAACATTGTACATCATTTTTAATAAGTACTGCGCTATTAAAAAGCGTTTAATGATTAATTTTTAAACACCATTCATTATAATAATATAATTTTTCCGATAACTTTAATTGGTGCAAAATATTTTTACGGTAAAAAATCCATAGCCAGCAACTTATGAGACATTTCAACAATAATTTTGTATTAATATTAACGACTCGTCAAAATAATTATCCACCGTTTAATGTCGAACTCCTCCACTTCAACTGTATTAGTTTATACCACAATAATTTCCCCTTGCAAAGGAAAATTAAAATCTAACGTCATACGGACTATTCCAAATCAGACGTTGGAGAAAATTGTTTTCTAGCGATGAACGACAGGTCCCGGTCAATTGGTTTCGTGTCATCGTAGAGTGCCGGTGCCTCACATAGGATGAGAATTGTACCCATAATGGAAGCGACTGTGAATATCCACAAGAATAGTCTGTCAAGCACCATAGCCACAAAACCCCAGTCTTGATCTTCCTGTAAGTGGTTAATAAATTAATTTTGTAACGTTTAAAATGAACCAAGATTAAGTATAAGTACTAATCAATGTGTAGCACTATATGGTTTGCAGATCAAAGGCGCAACTATTAGGTGGTGATATGGATTAGCGAAGCTCAACCCTCTACCCCCTCCCGGCCCTCCCCCGGCAAATTAATAATTATAATAAGAAGAAAATATTTTTAAAAAATGTATATTTATACTACCGTCCTCTTAATATAAAACAATATTAAATATTGAATAGTAAATAACGAAAAATATTTATTTGGTCGATGAGAAGAAAATTTGGTTTAGAACGATTGCAAATGTTCATCAAATTTGGCTATAATATTATCTTAAATACTTCGAAATAATTGTTGTCAGTTTAATAAAGAATGACTATTTTTTTATATAAGTTTATTAAAAAATAGTCGACAAAACGTTATTCCCCGAGGTGTGGTATTTACTTGTCAAAAGATGAGAACGTTTTATAGTCAATACCAAGAAACAACAATATTCATATTATAAATTTATATAATTTTTTATAATCCAATTACAAAAAAACTTAAATTCGAAGTCAATGTTTGTTTTCTACCTAAGGCCAACATATAGATGAAAATCATTAATGAAGAATCGGCTTCATTAAACATATCGATTTAATTATTGATGATATTGTTTTGACGCTTATGATTTTCACAGATTTTCATAACGAAATTCGATTATGGTAATTATTACCGTGTTGTATTCGTCCTGGCGTTGCAAGTGGTGCTGAATAAATTTCACGTTGTGAATGGCTTTCTCCAGCTCGAACGGATACTTCTTCCTGATGGCGGCCGGCACATCGTTGAGCGTGTCGTCGATGGATGACACGGCCGCGTTCACTAGCCGGCTGGCCGCCCCAGCCGCCACCGCCGTCCCATTGCAACCGGTCCGGCCGGCGGCCGCCACGTACCGGCGCAGTGAGTCGGTGGGTGAACGGTGGCCGGCGGGCGGCGAAGCGACTGGCGCTGGAGGAACATTCAGCGTGGCGCCCACGCTGGCCGCGTTCAACCTACGCAAAGAACAAAAGAAAATCCGTCAGGTGGCGCCCCGCTGTCTACCACCATCCGGATGATTCGTTTCCACCGACGGTAAAAAACCACATAAAGAAATTATATTTTCTTTTCCGGGAAATTAAATTTTTTTAAACGTTCGCGATTCAATTTCATTTCATCGCGATTATTTTGTTTAACTTTTCCGATAAAACGTATAAAAGATTGATAATATTACAATATGTTTCATGACAAATTATTATTATGGTAATAATGTTACCACTAATAACGTTTGATGGTTGAAAATGGTCATTTTCATTTGTATATTTTCATTAAAAATCAAAAATATTTCAAACTTTCCCTGAACTTTTATAAACGTATGAGTTAATTTTATCTAAACACAACGATTGACGCGAATAACGATTGGTTGACTTCACACAATAATTGTCTCGTACCATTATACTGTGTTCCTGTATAACCCATGTACGTACCTGGCCAAGTTAAGGTTTAATTTTTTGCACGTCTTCATCTGTTTTTGTTTCATCGCTGAATCTGCCAAGAGCTGTTCGGGCACCCTCATGAGCAACATCTTCGGTAGTKCTCTGATGAACACCGTCCGCATCCACGACGGTATCTTGTGCGTGCTCGGTTGCCTGCAGAAATGATAAGAGCGGTAATAAAAAGAAAATTGTTTTTTAAAAAGAAAATCATTTTAAAATATTGTTGGGAGGGATTATCAGGTCAAATTGTCGTAAGTCAAAAAAAACAAATTATAATATTATATGCTAATATAGTTTTTACCTGTAATGTATGTTTATGATGATGATGGTAACGACCACACACAGGGCAACCAGCAACATGGTGAACAACAGGTATTTTCCGAGCAGTGGCAACGACAGCGACGTCGACGGTATGATTTCGGAGATGAGCAAGAAGAACATAGTCTGGGACAGGAGTATCGTGATGCACAGTGAAATTTTCTCCTTGGAGTCAGCGGGCAGGTAGAAGACCAGAACCGACAGGTAAGAAATGCCCACGCAGGGCACAATCAGGTTGACGGTGTAAAACAAAGTCCTCCGCCTCAGGGTTATGTTGAAGAATATGTCGATATATGGTTCGGCGCAACACGAGTAGTACTTTTCGTGTCTCTCCGCCGGTACGCCGAGAATGTCCCATTCAACGCTTGGATAGTACGCTGACAGATCGATGCCCACATCCACTTTGTTAGTTCCCACCAACTGACCTATGTGCTTGAGGTTTATCTGTGGGCCACCATATCACGAATTCGTTATCAACTAATCTCAAAAAAAAAAAAAAAAAAAAAAAAAAAAACAGCGAAACCTATGGATTATACCGCAGACATTACGATAAATTTTGTTAGCCTATTTCTTCCCTTCTACTGCGTAGACGAGATAGTTGTGGTTAGATTTATGTTTTTTTAAGGTTCCGACCTATCGTAGGTCAATATTGGAGCCAACCAGACGGTGGTTAATAAACTATTTATATCGAATATGTGTGACTATAATCTACTTCTGTGCATTTTCAAAATTAATACACGTAAAAACCAGAATTGTTAAACAAAATAAGAGAGGGGTGTGAGAGTGTAAGACATCACACATTTCCGAGTTTAAAAACAAGAAAAATCATTCTTAATGGTATTTTATTTCGTTAAATCTTAATCCTATTGCGATACAGGAAACGTAGTCATTTATAGTTTGAACAATTGACCCTGAGAGGATATTGATTCAACAACAATATGTTTCACAGTGTATACGCATAATGAACGGAGATAACAAATCAAAAGGTGAATGTAAAAATAATTATGACTCATTAAAATATTATCAAAAACCGCTGTTTCGTTGGGTTATTAATAATTGTATGTTTACATCAATGCCATTTACCTTTATACCGACATAACTTGATTGTATAATAGTATAATTTTTTTTTTACGACGCGGTGTAATAGCAATCAGCCTAAGCGTCCACTGGTTATTCATAAATTATAGTTAAGGTTAAAATAAAGTATAATAATATTATAAAGTAACATAAAGTTTATAATAATTGTACGTATTATAGAATAGGTAACGAATTTATAAAATAGCACATTCTTATTAGTTTATAATATTGATGAAAATGGAAAGTACAACTATAATTGCTATAATAATAAAAATGATATGCTTATTCTTAATAAGTTATTAAAAAAAAAAATGTAGATTTATATTTTAAATCTCGCCAGTGGTTGTTTTATTTCTATTGTGGTGATTATGATTATTATTATTATTATTAGTTGTCTACGTTGTCCGCGTTGTCGCCGTGGTCGGCATGCATCGACACACCGATTCCAGCCGACCATTAAGATAACGAATTATGTATTATTACTCTTTTTTTTTTTTTATCTAAAAGTTGTCGTACTTGTTTTGCACACAACGCACTCTTATATTTTAATGTATGCGCCCTACACTATAAATTGTAATATTATAAATAATTGTATAACATTATTTAAATACCGTGATGATAATCATATTGACCAAACCGTTAAAAAAAAGCATTTTAATTTTATAAATTTGATATCGATTTATAAATCATTTTTTCACGTTATTTTAGGGTTTCGTGCACATAAATTGTTATTTATTTTATTATTTTATATAGCCTATCATATCAATGAAGTTTAAATTTATTTTTATTCAGGATATGAGACTGGCATTAAGGCTCAACTTAATAATATAATATTGTAGGGTAAGTTATTTACTTAAAATAATAGATTTTTTTACTATAAAGCATAAAAGTACTGTAGGTACTAAGAAGTTGATAGATTAAAAAAAATTATCCTTGGGTAAAATATGTTACCTACATGCTATATAATGGATTTATACACATAAAATAAATCGATTACCTACCTACTAATTTTTATATAAATCAAAATATAATTATTGATTAATACAATTTATAAACGTAATATACCAATATTCTGAAATTTCTGCAAGTTTTATGAATTTATCTTTCAACGGACGAACATAATTTGCCATAATACATAAACAATTCTGTAAATTTCTACAAAAAAAATTTTCTCTCAACAAACATATTTTTTAAATATCCAAAAATTTATGATTTTATGGCTTTTTAATGAGTAATGAAATCTCAAACTTCAATGAAACATTATGGTACACTTATTTGACAATCTCGAAATGAATAATGGTGATGTTCTTCACGCCAATCATTAGTCAAGGATAAATTTCTTGATAAAAATCTCCAGGAATCAAAATCAACGCTCTGAACCGATAAAAATTTTGGAAGGTCACGTATTGAACTTAAATGTTATTGTCTGCTAGGTCAAGTATTGGGTTSCAACCAATAATTATAATTAAACGTTTATAGTATAATCAATTTGTAAAAATATCTCGTAATTCAGATTAGGTCATTATAAATATTAGCATTACCATTAAAGAGTCAGATATTGTATGATTGTATAAACAATAAAAAAAAAAATAGCAAAATTTGAAGTCTCAAAGTTTATAAATACTAAATTTTTATGAAAATTATATACAAAAAAAATTATTACGCCATTTGTTTATTCGTTTACTATAAAGTATATAAAACTCATTAGTGGGATAAATAATTATTGAAGTATATTAAGTTTTTTTTTTGTGTGTTTTTATTGATCTTGAAAATATTAATAGTTTCTGCTTCGATATCTGAGGCCATTAGCATTATTAACTGTTTATTATACCACAAATTGCCACTTAAATAAACCTAGCGAATAATCTTAGTTTTTACCTCAACCTTAAAATGTGTATGAAAGGCAATACGATTAAACTACACTTCAAAAGCCAACTAAATTTACAGAATCGGTAATTCTTAAGTATATAAAAGTAGGTATTTAAAATATTGTGTCTACAAAAACTAGATACACAATAACTCAGTTAACTATATTATTTAGTTCCCTAACTATATTATATATTGTAGAATTCTGTCTGCATGAGATTGATGATCCAATAAACTAGTTTAATGTGCCGTAAAAAAAATTTTAAAAATCTATTATGTATACTGAGTAATATGAGTAAGTTAATTATACGTTTGACTCTGTTTTTTAAGATACACTTTTTAATACATAGGTACTAATTGTGGAACATTTAATTTTGTTGGTATTTACCTGGTTTCCGTCGTATGACCATGAGCCAAATTTCATAAAACATGTTTGCTGATCAAATGGGAAATAGCGAACATCAATTTCGCACGATGATTTAAAGATGGCTGGTGGTGTCCACATTACTTTACCGGAGTGATGAAGCACAGCCTTTGTCATGGTAGTGACCACGTACTCTCCGTCAGCGCTGTTTTATTAAAATACAACACAACATAATAATTATTATTATTATTAATATTGCGATTTGAGTTTAAATCTGAGCATATTGTACTTATACCAACTTACTTGTTGTAAAGGACAATGTCTGGCAGCCAGATATGCTCGGACGGCACGTACAGCTCTTTGACTCCTCCGTATTCCAGTGGTTCCCAAATGAATTTATGGTCTGCCCATTCCTAAATGCAATCGATTAAAAACGATTTTCACATTAAAATATTAAAAATTAATTACTTACATGTTCTAACCATACGTTCGTTGTTAAAATCTGATCCTTGAGATTCTAGATTAAAGAAAACAATAACAATTATTGTCAACATGTTATTATTACGATAATATTGTTGGAAAAATTAGTTGTCATAGTCGTTTATCACGGAGTAATTATTATATTACTATAATCACCTATCGACTGTTGACAGTATGACATGCATTATAAATTATAACACCACGTGGTAAGTATGAAAAAGCGTGATATTTTTTTTTTTTATAATATGCTTTATTTTATATAATAACTTGAAATCCCGCAGGCCATAATAAACTCTTTATTTTATTTTGATGTTTAATTCAAATACGGGATATACTGTATAGCAAAACGTGTCGACTCAGATTTAATTGAAATGGTTAAACGTTAGTAAATATGTTACGAGTTAACCGCTTATGAAAAATAATTTCAAACTATGAGTCAAAACCACACAAACAAGTTTTTTTATTACTATAACTTATTATTCGTATTCAATATTCATATTATGCTTACATATACATTACATTTATAGGCGTGAAAAAATAAATCAATCAAATTATGTCATTAATTGTTTGTTAAATGATTTTTATAGAAATCTACTTCCCCCCCCCCCACTAAAGTTAATACATTGTAATTTTGCTAACAATTAGGACGTCTCAGCTGTCAAATTTTGAACAATGAATAACGGACGCTGCACTATATATATTTTTATTTTTTTATCATAATATCACACAACTAGACGAATTAATTAGCAGTATCCAGTATTCGCGCATTTCATCGGTGTCATAGTTGATAATTATCAGTCAAGTATATAAAACTATGAAACTTTCATGATAATATAAAGTTTCATGGGCATAAATTAAAAAAATCACATTTTAGAGAAAATCGTTAAATGGTATTGAATAAATTTAGATCTGATTCGGTTTGGTTCTCACAAATATTACAATAAACAGACAATTTTGTTAAGTGGATGCTATAAAAGTTTAATTGTACTAAAACTTAACTACCAGGCATGGACTTATTGGTTTAAAACAAAATTTATATTTTTGGTCAATATATCCAATATACGCGGCTGCGGACGGTTCTTATCCGGTCAACATTTTTAATAACACGATTGCGAACGATTATAGTTTAACAATGGACCCCCGAAAATTATATGATTATGGACACATGTCGCCAAATTTTTAAATAATACTTTAATAGTGTGGAAATGTGGGAATTCTTAGTGAGTTAAATATTAAAGCGTATAAATGTTAAAATGTATTTTATAAAATTAAAAACATTGAAATGTTGCTTTCTGAGCGCTTGTTTTTTGCTTTTTTTGAATTTGAATCTTTAAATTTTTACGTATTTTTGTGACTGACATTCGTATTAATATTGTGGACTACCTATTATAAATGTGTACAGTAAGCGCTTATAGTATTTTAAATTATTCAACAGCTACTATAAAACTTTAACATTTTATTTATTTTTTTTTTTATAATCATAACATTGAAAAATTTATAGAAATACGAAGCCAGTATCATTGTACATTTGTTATTAATTATCATAGTATTTGTATTTGTGTTTTTATTATTWTTATTCGTATTGTATACTTTATGTAATTGCGTAGGTATATATTTTAAACCGTGTGGTATTCGATGCTCACTAGACATCCGAACGATAAGCGAACACAAAATTGATTGGTAATCGTTAGGTTCAGTGGACTGCATCACACAGGTTGACAACGTTTCACTAAATTTCGTCCGGAATCGTTTTTGGGTTGCTAAATAATACTTTATGCTGTACAGTGATCGTACACAATCGCGTTGGAAAAAAGGTAAAGCGTCCGCAATCGTGTTTCGCGCAATATACCAATCACGCTGCTTAAATTTTAGGAAATTTTTTATTAATAAACATTTTTATAAAAGTATAATATACTAGAAGCAATGTAGAATAATATAATTATAATAGTGATTTATTAAATTTTAATTATATAATATATGTACCTATGTGTATTATTAGGTATACATGTAGAATCTACAAATATTATTAATCTTGCAGACGTCCATTGAATATTTTTTTTATTTTATCGAGCGCAATCGGTAAAACAAAAGGTAATTTTAAGCGTAATTTGTAAACTCCCGTACTATCATGTAGGTTAGTAGTTTTCTTCAAACGTTACGACTCGTATATGATTTTTATGACGATCGAAAATACGCATGTGTAGGTATTGTTCACATAACAGTATAATATTTAAATTCGTAGTATGGCTTCTAAGCATAATATACGGTATTAAATACAGGTTCCTACTACAATGTTAGGTTAGGTTAGGTTTATATTATGACATAAGTAATTATATTGCGGAATGAAGTGGGCCCTTTGATCCACTACTTTGTTCGTCTAAACGTTGAACATGTCTTAGCAATAATATTAACTACTCGTTCGAAGTTCCGTTTCTATGATCCGTTACAGTGACTTAAATAATATATATCTAGTAGATAAAATGAAAGATTATTCATTGAAACCTTAACGCACATACGGAGAAAAATGTCGAGTTTACTTTTACAAGAACCACTCTGTATATCATGTAAAACGCCGTCGTGGATATCTTTCTCCCATACACCTACGTAGACCTGCCTATGCCTAACGAGTATGTAATAAATCAGTGCGGTCGGTTTTCCGTTAAACCTACCGTTTATACTGTCCTATAGTGTCCGGTTACGAGTGAACGACCGCGGCCGAAGCCTTACGACGAGGAGCACACACGCGTATACAATATGACCCGCTGGCTAAAGTATGAATTGAATTTGGGCGTTGTTATTTTCGTTTTTATCAAACAAATCTCATTTCTTTGATCAGTTGCCGTCGTCGTACGTTATGGTTTTAATGATGATTTCACGTGATTTTAACTATTTTACCTACGGTAATAATATTAATATTACGGCTATTAATGACTAAATAATATGATCGTCTAGGTTTTATTATGCTCTTTTACGAATGTCAATTTTCATTTCATTTTCCGGATCGCATTTCCAGGAAACTGTTGCGTGCACAAAATGCTTACCCGACAATCGTCAATTCAAGACAAGACGGATTTTTAGTATTTTGAATTTAATGAAGTTTTATAATATTAGGTCTCGCGTGATAAAAAGATTCCTAGTGATTTATTGACTTAATATTGTTGGATTAATTATGTAGCAGTTGTCAATGATAATCGTGCGGATTAATATTATGATTTCCTTAAAATTGAATTGTTTAATATAAAACACTTCAACCTTCGGAGACTACATCACTGCAACTATACTGGTCATCACAGGTAATATATGTATATAATGTCGTTTTGATAGTGGACGGGTCATGACTACAAACGGTCGGGGAGGCGGCCGACCCACAATTATCCGCAACGACCCAAAACAAATACACAGCAAACTACTTCTACAGCCACTATACTACTTCCACTACATCCATCACTGCAACTATACTACCATCACTACTTCTATGTACAATACATCAACGACTAAATAATATTATCACTGCTGATCCAGTGGCGTGATCTCTGCCCGGCCATCACGGAGGTGGGATGATGCGGTTAGCTGCACGGCACCGATCCGACACACGACCGCGCCGGGCGAGATTGTTAGCGGGGGGTAGGGGGGTGCGTGTGGGTCACGGTGGCGTACCAACTCGATGAGCTGCGACAGCCTGAGGCCCAGCTTGACCAGAACGGTGTCGGTGTTGTTGCTGACCGGCCGGATGAGCCGGTTGTAGTTGCTGAGCAGGTCGTCGTACAGCCGCTTGGCGTCCGGGTTGCACAGGCACCCGACGGCGGACAGAAGCAGCAGCGGCAGCGACGACGTCAGTTGCACGCAACCCCGGCGGCGGCGTCGCCCCCGGAACTTTTTGTTGTGTTGGTCGCTGCTGTTGTTGTTGTTGTTGTTGTTGTTATTGTTGTGGCGAATGTCGCCGTCGTGGGCCGCGGCGGGGTCGACGGACGGCATCGCGTTCTCCTCGGCGGCGGTCGACTGAATCGATATCATAGAGTTATTCTGCCGCGCCGCTGTGGACGACGGCTCGACGGGTCGCGGATGCTGTGCGTACTGCACACTGTGTGACGAGAGACCGCGGTGGGCGCGCCGAGCGGAGCGGACGACGCGGAGCGCTCTGTCCCGCCGATCTATAAGGCGCCGCGCGCACGCCCCTTCGAGCCCTCACGCTGGCGGCTGCCGTCAGAATTGTGCAGCGCGGTGCAGCGGGCCGACCGATGAGATCGCGTATGACCCGTCTTCGTCATCGTCGTTATCTCGCGATGTGTATGTGGGTGTGGGTCATTAACGCCGTGATTGTTTTTTTTTTCTTCAAGCACGCTTTTGAACGTCGTTTTGCAATAATATTTCGATTAAAAACGCTCACCGCCGTGTCTCGAGTGCGTATAACGACAGTATTGTATACGACACGCCCGTCCACGGTGGTAGCGTTGCGGGTTTTGAGTGGTGATGGGTGATGGGGTGGTCAGAGTTGTGTCTTTGGTGGTCGGGTGGCTGGGTGCGGTACCTACCCTCTTAGGTCAGAGCGTCTGCGATCTGCGAGTCTACGACCTTATCCAATTTGTTTTTCTCGACCCGCGACCATCATATAATGTATACCTGCACTGATGAGTTTTGAATAATTGCTCTGAACATTTATTTTCAATTCTGTGCGAAGTATAATAAAATTAGTATTTTATTGGTAGCAAAATATTTGTAATTTGTAATTTAGTCCCTTAAAAGATCGGAGACCTAGTCCAAACGGTATTCTTAAGAGATGTTTTTTCGAAAAATTTAAGATTTTGAATTTTGATTAAGTACTCTTGACGCACAAACGTCATGTGCTTAAGTCAGCTACTCTAATAAAAATGCATAGTTATCGTGACGTTCTTAGTCTAATTTATTTCAGCTGTTGACGAATTTAATTATTTAAACAGTAATTATTATGCAAACATATCAGACACGGATTCAGACTTTAGAGCACAGTCTTAGGAGGGGGAGGCAACACACAAACAAAATAGACATAGGTCGTAAAATATACAGTGTCAATTATTATGAACTAATATTTGATCTGGGACTTAGCCTGTTCCATGTATCGACTTAGTATACTCGTATTATATTTAAATATTTTGTTTAATTTAAATCATAAATACTTTAGAGAACACGAATATATGATATGACTATACATTTTTATTTCTATTTTCAACCTTTCGACGTCTATGCGAGAATTAATTAACTGAAATTAATAACCATTGCTATTCATCAAAATATATTGCATACCACATTATCTTGAGGATATATATTAAGTGTTCAGTTTTGACGTTTGTAATTTTTAGTATCTATTATCATCAATCTTGATTCTTGACAGCTGCTAGGTAGGTATAACAGCTGCAATTAATTTCAAAAGTCAATAATATTAATGATATGTATGCAATTTGTAATTATTTTCAATTATAGTAAAGAGTCATTGATGATTATGTTTTTTACAAGTATTTCGACATACTTATAATATAATATTAACCCAAATAATAGGTTAAATTCAATTTTAGATATTAAATTATTACAAAATAAAAAATAGATTGCAATTTTATCAATGCTTACAAATGTATTGATATAACATACATTTTCTATAATAATTGTTTTTGAAAAATAGTCTTTCTCAAATATCAATAATAGGTATCATTTGTTTGTCAAATCATTAAACAGTTTGGTAGAATATTACTAGTAGATCGTTGATTGCATTCACTTTAGTTCCACGTTTAGTGAATTATTCCACAATAACGCATTATTATCTCATTAGTTTGCTAAGAATATGCTAGAATATTTGAATTATTATGAAACTTTTATACTACCTAAATTAATTACGTACTTGGTAAACGTAACATTTTTATCAATATATTAGGTATTTAGAAATTTATCTTTTTGCATGATTCCTTTAGTATTGTGCCTATAAATAATATAATATAACTTAATATACTTTATCAATTTATTGTAATGTTTATATAATAATCAATAATTTTGGAATAAATGTTTAATTCAATAATTACTTGTTTCATCTTGGCTACTTATAAAAAAACGAACCGCATTTATATTTATTATACTCGGTACATCGCCAAATATATTTGTTTTTACCATAACTATAAAAATATAGAGATATCCGTTTGTAATAATAACTTATTACCTTTTTTGCTTTTAATAAAAGTAAGAATCAAATTTGAGAAAGAAAACCAATAGCCAAGTTCATCAGTTGACAATTAATACTGTTATGATAAAACTAATGAACACGAATCTGCTAAAATGTCCAGCTAGAGTTAATATATGACTAATATGACGGTTCGCTCGGAGATAGCACTACCGAAATATTATTTTATTTCTACAAAGTCAAAAACAATAATTTGGATGTTCTGATGCACAATATATACCACCGGAGGTCTTCTGACGTATATATCAGTATATAGAGATAAATTAATTATTTGAATGTAATTTTTTTTTTAAATTTATTTCATAAATATTTAGACCAAAGTCATTTTTTCCATAAGATATTTTGACCTTTTGCCATCTAGACTTTTATCGTACGTAATCGATGAATCAAAAACTTCAATAAATAAAATGTTTAGTTTGGTCCCCTGAATTTTGAATTAACGATTGTTTACCTACTGTAAAATATAATATACACGTACCAATATCACTCTGACCTTAATAATTTACAACAATATATGTCGTATACGTATACACAAACCCTTAAGTGCATTATAATTTGATAGTCATTATTAAAATTAATTATACATTTTAAGTTATATAAATTAAAAGTCTAAAATGTTAACATGACAATTTTTAATTTAATCATATTTTCTTAAATTTTGTTTTAAAGAAAACTGCAATTATATCGGATTATATAAACGAATTACTATTCACTCAAATTGTATATGTTTACACTTTATATATTTCAACTAAATTAGTAATTATTATGATTTCACATGCAGTCGACTTTCAACATACGTGTTAAAAATATATTAACGTTCTCCACTGATCACGTGTATAAACATGTATAAAAGCATTCATATTTTAAACTTTTGAGAACCTAAATATTTACTTGTTATTATTAACAGCTGACTAATCGCGGTATGAAAATACGTGAGCAGGATTGGTGGTCTCGTGAGTTTTATTCAATCGGAAATACTTACCTGAGCACGTGCTGTGCGCGACTGTGCGATAAATTAGATCACATAATTCACCGATTTCAACTCATATGATATAGTAATAATATACTTGTCCGTGGTTGGGTTTTTATATTCGCTACGACCACCGTAATTTTAAGGTCATGAGCGTACGATGATGATGATGATAATAATAATAATAATAATAATAATAATAATATTACGAAACCATATTATTCTTAGACTTCGAAGTTAGCTGTAGTCCACAGTCATGAAACGTCCAATTAGCATAAGATCGCGAAAAATACAAGAACACTTCAAGAGAACACCATGGAAACCGGCTGACGACGGCTTCCGGTAAAAACTGTAATAATTGCGATAGCCGATAATAAACTACAATGGTTACGCGATGCACACACATTATTTTATCTGTTTCATATCTATTCATTAACATCGTAAGTTTGTTTGTTTGTTTTTTTTGTTTTTGCAATTTTTTCAACAACCGACGTCATAATATAATCATACTTTACAAGATACGTTTTTCATGGTCACGGCGCTAAACGCGTGCATGTCTCGACGCTATAAAATCGAAATAATTCAATGCTGAAATCCTTATAATCATGAACCTACTAAATAATAACATTACACATTAAACTGTATATATAGAGAAAAAAAAATATGAAGTTTTCTGAGGTTCTGTTAATGAATGGTCTCATCCTTTCCATGCTTTCAGGTTTTTATCTAAACTTATCTTGTTATCCTTGTTACCTAGAGGTACTTATTGTTTTTATTTCAAAATATAAAAATGAAATATATTTATATATTAAAATAATAACAATAGAAAAAAATACCATTAAAAAAAACGAAAAAATACCATATAAATTATATTTTTATTATGTAAAATTTTTCGAACCGCCGAATTTGCCATAATCTCGACTTCTAGATTGTATTCGTTCAAAATAATTCCCCATTAAAATTAAATTCATTTCGATAACTTGAATATTTAATGTTTCCCTCAAGTTTTGACATAACAAAAGTTCAATGCATAAATAACATAACATTTGTTTTGATTTTGCACCCGGACCACCGTCGAACTATAAAATAACTATCCAGCAGTCAAACAAATTGTGTTACTTATTTCCATTATTTGTTTTGCACTGTTTTATACAGATCTAGAATGTATAACCTTCGATTTAAAAATAAATTTTTCTTAATCTGTTACGCAAATAAATAATTATAAACTATCTTTTTGGAGCTAACACAGCAATAGGTACTTCAAGACTTACGAATTAGAGTTGAATTTATTTCTTTAACACTGATAATCTCCGAGGGCCAAATTAAGTACATGGTCAATTCTACTAAAAACCTACATTAGACAACACCATGTCATTATAAACTATAAACTTTTTCCAACTCAATGATATATATAATAATTTGATACGTATCTAAACAATAATATTATGGATAGGTACACACTACATTTTTTTTCTGATTATTTTAAACCAAAGTCAGCTGTTTTAAATTTATGCTTACAGCTTACAAATTCCAAGATTATGTAAATAAAATACATACTGAAAAATACATAGTCATCACATAAAAAATATATTATTGTTGAAAAAAAAATGTCAAGTAATCAGTATTCACTATAGGTACGCATTATGCTACTTATACTTAACAAAATTATTAATGATAATTAATAGTACGATTTTGTATGGATTATATTATATTATATTTTCTATTAACCATAAATAATTTTAAAACGCCAATTTCAAAATTTTACTATAAATAATATTGTTTTAAATAATATGAATAATAAATATATTAACAATATTAATTCAATGTTAAAATAAATTGTTTTATAATATATACTATACACAATGTATTATTGTAATGATGTGCATAATGTATGAAATTCTCAAGTACATAATAGCAGACAATATACTTTAACACTCTAATAAACTTCAACATAATAAAAATCATAGGAATTTAGAAAACAAAAAAAATCAGAAAATATATAATTTCAAATAAAAACTGTTTTGGAAGGTAAATTAAAATAAATACAACAAAAGGTATCTAAATTGTATAGGTTATTATATTCTTTAGATTCTAAAGGGGTATTATAGTCAATTGTAGATAAGAGAAATTTGGTGGTTCAATCACTCAGCATAACCAAAAAAAATGTTTGTTTGTTATAGAATTAAAAT